TACTACTACGTACGTACGTACGTACTCTCTCTCTCTCTCTCTCTCTCTCTCTCTCTCTCTCTCTCTCTCTCTCTCTCTCTGTGCACCCAACACAATTTTTCTCTCACCAGGTTACTTGCATCCAAAAAATAGTCTATGTTACCTGCACCCAGCAATGAGTCTCTCTCTCTAGGTTGCTTGCACACAAACATGGTAACATGCTCTCACTAGGCAACTAGGCAGGACTGGCCCATTAGTTGTTGATTCTCTCACCAGGTACAACAAACAAAACCTATGCAGCTCTTATTATCACATAAAGGAAATATGATAATGTTGCACTTTACACAGAATAATAATGTAAAAAGCAGGAAAAAAAATATAAATAATGAACACTGATGAGAAAATGCAAACATAGAGTACATGAGAATCCAATTTCTGTGAAATAAGTCCTAAAGATTCAGTGGGAAACTAGAAGGAATTGATGCTAGCACATCACAGATACTCAAACAAAGCAGTATGACATCATATTTACCATAACAATTTGGGCATTCAGTGAACTCGTACACATCCTTTGCGCGTTTCCTATTTAGTGCCTTCCACTTCCCTGTCCCACCGCACATATCACCTACACAAAGCAAAGACATCCAACTTTAAGTATAACGCAAATGCTGGACTAAAGAAATGAAAACACTTAAATCAAATGAATCTAAAGTGAGAATGCAATTTGCCAAAACAAAACCTAGCATTAAAAACAACACCATGTCTCATGCATAAGATATAGATGATACACCTCTCGTGTTCTTCATAGCATTTGTCATATATGAAAAATACAGGTGACAGGAAAAGTAAATTGTATCACAGGAAGTTACTAATGGTGACAGGAAAAGTAAATTGTATCACAGGAAGTTACTAATGGTGACAGGAAAAGTAAATTGTATCACAGGAAGTTACTAACTGCATAGTAGCAATTTTATAGAGACTTGCATCATTCTCCCAAAAACATAATGAATTGGGGCCCCCAATGAACTCAAATAACCATGTAGTTGTTTTGGAATGATATGAAAAAAGTGTGTACTTGTACAATAAATTAAAAAGCAAATCTAAAAATTGGACTACAAAATTACATCCATATCTGGGACATGAATGACAAATGGATTTAAAAATATGTTTGATACTTACAAAGGACAACACCACTACCCATGCAATTCCGGCACACAGGTTTTGCAGTTTCGGTGGGACCTCCCATTACTTCCAAAGGCTTCTCTTCAGCTGAACTGGAACTGGTACCAAAACTGTATAAAGCTATAGTTGTACAAGTAGATGTCACAAACAACCGTCGTGGGAGTGATGATGGAGCTCCCTGGAATTTAAAGGTTCCAAATCACTATGCAAATCTAATACAATTTCCTCAAGAAGAATCAATAAGGTTACAGCACATTTAACCATATAAGGAGTAAACCAAAGGCATACACAGTAATATCAAGAATAAATCAACCCGACATGTACAGAAGAATGTGCGCACTATCTAATTCTTTTTTTTAAAAGAGAAGGTTAAGGTACCATCTAATTTTTTTAAACTGCAAGGATCATTGACATGAGCTGTTATTCAGTACTTTTCAATGCATACATTGGCCTTTGTTTTAGACATGCTTTCCTATGGGAGATTCTAGAAAAAGTGAGTATTACTCCCCTGCATTTCCTTGTAGCTCTGGAAAATGTCTTTATTACCATTGTCTAATTTTGCAAATTTTGTAAGTGGGAAACACTTGTACTGTCTTGATATGCATATTAAGGTTTAGGCAAACTCTTCATCCCCTTCTAGAAGAAATAAAGATGATATCACAAGTTGCTCATTGCCATATAAGTTTGACAACAAAAGGTGAGCCAAATGGTTACAAATATTGAAATAAATATTTTGTCGACTAACTCAACGAAATCTATAGGGAAAAGAAAAGTAGGAGTATTCAACCACACAAAACAACCAAACAAAAATTTGATAGGAACTTTGAAACAAGAGATAACTAGGTTAAGAATGAGTGCATCAAGGAAGCACCTCATTCCACTTTCTTTCCTCAAGAAAAGTTGCCGTCTTACAGAGCAACAACACTTCACTATTATAATGAATGGGAATTATTTCGCATTTTCCGTAGTATTAATTTATGAGAACTCAATTATTAAATACTTGGACATGAAAATGCAATGAAATTTAAGTGCTTATTAAGAAATAAAATATACCCATAGAATTATTATTGCTAAGATGAGGATGTTGAGATGAATGAGTGGCAAGATATGAAGGGATAGAATTTAGAATGAATACATTCGCGGGGTTTTAGGTGTGGCACCAATAGGCGATAAGATGAGAAAAAGTAGACTTAGGTAGGGCTCGTCATGTACAGCACAGTCCCAATATAACACTTGTTAAGAGGTACGAGTTCGTTCAGGTGGAAGACTGAAAAAGAGCAAGGGGTAGGCCCAAAAGGACGTAGTTGGAAGTAGTGAAAAAAGATATGGGGACGTGTAGCCTCTAAAATATATGGGGTTAGAGCATTCACATAAATTATGAGAGAGATTGGACAAATTCTTTCAACTTCCACGACTAAAATTATGGATGACGCAATACATAAGAAACTGTTGAAGAGAGAAAACAAAGTTTGAAGAAAGAAAAGCCTTGGATTAAATCAGAGAATACAGTGCATGAACGAATAAAATACATCATAATTTAATATTACAGAAGCCCAAAGTGCAAGATACAAGCAAGAGACCTCGAGACTTTTTATTTCTTACAACCAGGGTTTAAAAACTTGTCGAGTCGAGTTGGACTCGCCCGGTTCGACTAGGGAATCGTCTGCAACAGAGCCGATTCCATAAAAAAATGGGGAATTGCCCGTGTCCAGAGAGAACCGGGCGATTCCCAATAGTGAATCGCGAGTCTTACACGTGGCCGCCTCACGGGAGCAACACGTGACACCTAAAAAACCTCCACACGTGGTGACTCACCTCACATGTCGGCCCCATCGCTTTTCTACACGCACAATGCATCATCTATTACACATGAATATATAGAGAACAAAGCAACGCTCATCCTTCGATGTGGGATAATTCCCACAAAAAATCATTAAAGCAAGACTATTGAATATATATTATTATAGAGGCTAATATATTCACATTAGGCGACGTGGTGGTGTTGGTTGACATCTCCGATTTTTAGGGGGAGGTCTAGAGTTCGAACCCCATAGCGCACGTCCTCTTAAATATTTTTGTTGTCCTCTTTAATATTTTTGTTGTTTTGTTGTCAAAAAAATAAACAAAAACAGAAAATACTGTTGTAAAAAAATAGAAAAAATAAAAAATAAAAGGCTTTTCAAGATAAAGCTAAAAAAGATAATACAACAATTTTTTATTTTTCTTGTAAAAAAAATACAAAGTAATATAACAAGTATTTCTTGCAAAAAAATAAAACAAAAGGCATTAAAAAATAAAATGTACTTTGGCAGCATCATTTTTTTATTTTTCTCGTAAAAAAAAAGTAATACAACAAGCAAAAAAAAATGTAGTACAACATCTTCTTCTTTTGTTAAACAAAAAAAAAAAAAGATAATCAACAAGTATCATATTTTTCTTGAAAAAAAAAAAAAAGAAAACATAATAAGTATTTCTTGTCAAAAAAATAAAAAGTATTTCTTAATACAACCTAGGAATAAATGGTCTGATTATGTTTCTTATTTTTATAACATGATGGTCTTTAACATAAATTTAGTAATGTTAATTTAAAGATAGGATTCATACAATGAGGCCATTTGAAATCTCTCTCTTTCTACTAAGTAGTACTAACAATCTTTTCCACTAATTTATTCTAGAAACCCAAAAAATTTAAAGAAAATTGATACGCATTCTAATAATTTCTACATTGATAACCTATTTTGTTTATTAATTTTTGTATTATAAATCATGTAGTGTACT